ACACACACACAGAAAGTCATATTTCACAGTGGCTTATGTTTAAAAAGTGTGCTTTAATAATTTGAATAACCCCATTATCTTACTGATCTTAATCACTAAATGAAGGATCTGGACAGGACAGTGCTGTATTTCTCTCTACAGCCTTCCCCTCTCGTCAGCCTGTACAGCGAGTACAAGTATATAGAAATATAATGGTTATATGGCTGCACCTAATTCAGTTCAGAGTTTTTTAAGTCGTTTCTTGAGACACTTTTTCAAATATGTGTCTTTATTCATAAGTTAAATTAATGTAAAAGGAATATTCTGAGGCAGTTCAAGACCTATTTTCAAGTAAATTCACAGGTTAATTTGTACTCGTCATCCTCAGATCTTCATCCTCCTGAATTTCTCACCTGCAGGTACATTTTTGAAGTTTTTAAGGTTATAGCTGTTCCTCTGTAAAATGTTACAAAAGATGCTAAAAGATTGATATTGTCAGTCTTGAATTAAATCTTTTCTTTAATGACAGTGAACTCTGTACTTAGACAAACTAATCATCATTGATTAAACACTGATTCAAGTACCAGCCTTTGTATTTTACGCTGATTAACAGATCCTTGTGAGTGATCTTATCTATTGCGAGGGAAAGCTCCCGGCCCTCACCTTTTGTTGAGCCTGATTGTTTCCCTGTAAATAAGTCTGGCCAGAAACTCACTCTGGTTAGAGAGAAATCTACAGCTTTGTTGTGAACTTCTGTCTCCAACGCGCAGTGAATAAAACTCATCTGAACCAGCCACAAAATCGGCCCTGAAGGAATTTTTCTTCCACAAAGACCATTTAGTTGCTGATTTATAACTGTAACACACATATACTCCTTACATTTTTGCTTGTATTGATGCAGTTATTATCATAATTATTGCAGTTACTATTATTGTTGTATATTTTGTCTCATTGTTAGTTTGCCATCACTTTTAATATAGTCATACTATTTTCTGTATTCCTTTTTTTTTAAACTGTCAAATAACTTAACACTAACCACAGATAGGAGCAATGTTAGTGAGATGTATCGGAGCTGGTGTAGACAGCAGTGTTAGTTAAAAGGGAAAAGTTTCTGTCCTGAGAAATGAACCATTAAAGGGACTCAGTTACGTCCATAGTAACCAAGACTTCACAAATCATTCTTCTGTTCAACTCTACTTGTATCCAACCACGTCATCGATTCTTCTACTTATCAAAATACTTTCATAAACAGTATAACAAAGTACCTTCGTGGAGCTCTTTCCGTAGTTTCTCCGCGTCTTCCTGCAGGACAGATTTCTGAGTGTTCAACACGGCCACGTACATCTCCAGGTCTGTACGACACGACTTCTCCGCCTCAAGAACGTGATTGAGCTCCTTAACCTGCGAAAGAAAGTGAGAAACATGTAACTCTGTTTTATTTACATTAAAATGTATCTCAGAAAGAAAGGCTGCTTCTCTGAAGTGAGCAGAGGGAGAGACAACTTGGAGATTATTAGTCGGTATTTTGGCAGCACAACACGCTGTAATCAAAAACACATTCACATAAAATCATATACAGTTGTTGTGGCAAATAGTTGCCAACTTACACACCAAGCAGACACAGAGCAACATTAGCATGTTTTCAATCTCCTTTCAGCTCTACTTTGGACTCCACTAACTCGAGGGAAATATCTGGCTCTTTAGAATCAGAAATACTTTACTGATCTCTGGGAGGAAATTTGCTTCATCACAGTAGCTGAAGGTGCTCACAAGACATTAAAGAAATAGAACAAATAAGAAGAAGAATGTTAAAAATATGCATTATATTACAATATAACTATATATAGAAAATAGGAAAAAAGAAATATCTGGCTCTTTAGCTGCCAAACGCTCCACTTTCTTCACCAGCTAGTTGCTAACGGTGTCTGTCTGCTGCTGATTGCTGTGCAGGTAGCGTACAATGTTTTTATCTGAACCTTTGATCTGAAAAAAAAAAAAAAGGTACTTCCTGCAGGAAACAAAGTTGATGAGAGACCTGAGACTGAAACAAAATGTTAAAGTTGTGGGCTGTAAATCGCTGAAATCCATGAGTCAAGTTCTCAAAAGTATCACAACAAACATGAAATCGTCTCCTCTGTCCATCTGTATTCTCATGTCATAGGAACAGAAGTAACGTGGTTGACATTACCTGTAACAGACAAAGTCAAGCTACAACCACAACCATCCATATCTATGAAAAACACATGCTAACATTAAAAAGCCACTTTCACACCTTCAGCTGGTGTTAATGACACTAAAATATTCATATAAAAATATATACATCATTTAATATATGATATAATATTATACAGTGCTGTAACCACTTCTGTGTGTGCGCTGAAAATGAATCCAGTGTTTGTACTCGACCCTGACTCTCAATGGGAAACAATGGGGATCAGACCGAGCAACACAACACTAACTTGTTGTTCCACTCAGGATTTATATGTCAGGTATCGTTAAATTACTTGCCCACGGACATTCAGCTTACTTTCTAGTTTTCCAAAATATGTTGTGATTTTAGCTTTAGTATCAGGAGAGTTGTGAGTATCGTTGTCTGGAGCTGGTGTGCTGGGAAACAAGCAACAACTTTAACAATGTTAGTGACATTACTTGCTGTGTCGTTGTTTGCTCTACATCAAATACTCCAGTTAAACATACTCCAACTTTAAATACCTGTTTCACAATAATAAAAGCCAAAGCAGGAAACAAAAGGAAAACCAGGAGGAGTGATAACGCCTGGAAGAGATAAGGAGTCGCTCAGAAAAAAACAAATCCTTCCGCTCTTCGCTCTCTGCGTCAGAGCAAGTCGGCATTAAGTCGGACAGAAATCTAATGCGTAGGCCAGGCTCATCTCAAACGAGGCGCTAAATGTGTCATTAATATTACCTCAGCACAAATCTAAGATCTTTTCCCTTCTGATGTAAAAGCTACTTTAAGTGCTGAATGTCTGAAGGAATAGAATTTTCTACTTCCAATATAAGGAAACATTTTTCAGTTGACTCAGAAAAAGGGCAGCTGCCATGCCTGGTCAACATCACGCCCAGTTAACATCCTTTTCCTTTTCCCCAGCTGAATCATCTATTTAGTGCTGACTAACCTTCGAGGCCTCCAGTTCCTTCACCCGGTCCTCGGCTGTAGTCAGCTTGGCTTTGAGGGCCGCGATCTCCTTCTCCATCGGCATCACCACCGAACGCAGCTTCTCTGCATCCTCCTGGGCCTTTAAGAAGGTTTTACACGTCCTCATTAAACATTTATACACAAATTACAATTCTTTTACGCGCTTCATTTCCTTTTACAGCCGCAAGAACATAATATAGGAACGGATGCTGCATTTCAGCGCAGGAAATTATTCCAAAAAACATGAAGAGATAAAACCTAAAGAGTAACTTAACACTCTTTTTCCTTTCTGTAAAACATA